ACAAGATGACTGATGATGATAATTTCATGATCATGATGTGACGATGACAATGATGATGATGATGATGCTGATGCTGATGCTGATGCTGATGCTGATGCTGATGCTGATGCTGATGCTGATGCTGATGATAATGCTGATTGTCATGGTGACGGTGGCGGTGGTGATGATGATGATAAGGAGGAGGAGGAGGAGGAGGAGGAGGAGGATCGGCGACCCTCCCCGACAACAAGAGCTGCGCCGTCTTAGCAACATTTACCAGGAGAGCTTCAGTTCCTCGGCCTCGTCGTCTCCGTCGCCTGGACTTTTCGGGTTTAGGGTTGCAGGGTTTTGGGGTTTTGGTTCAGAGGTTTAGGATTCAGTTAAGGGGAAGGACTTTTCAGGAGGGACAGATTCAGGCCACACAGATGGACAAGTGTAGGCCCTAAATCTCTTACTCCCTGAGTCGAGAAACTTTATATTCAGAGACCTTAGTTGCGATGCTACTTAGCATTGATGCCGGTGGCCATGCTTGCCCGGAAGCCCTCCCGTCCCATGAAGTCCTGAACTTTGATGTTTGGTTTCAGGATTGGTATATCTGCCTTTCAGAGCTGCCCCTCCAGAGTCCCGGGAGATCATAGACGAATCCCATCCGAAGCCCTGACGACATGACGTCCTTGATCATTCATCCGAAAGCTTGAGGCTACAACGTACCTCCCACGCCTGGTGTATGCCGAGGATTACGAATCCGACACAGAGATGGTGCCTTTCGGTTTTGTCCGCACCCTGCCTGCAGAGAATTGAGGATCAGAGTGTCGCTCGATCTTACTGAACGAAGTGAGATGGCAGTTGTCAGAACTGAAAGGAAGGTTTGAAGTTCCCCACATCACATCCTCGGTTGGCGACGTTGGGCTCAAAGACGGAATGCTTTGATGCATGTACCTGGACGACCTAGAACCCTGAACTGCAAAGCTGTGCGGATGTTGGCTACGCATTCAGACAACAAGTGGGTATCGAGTTTAGGTTGCATCTAGTTCGGAAGACTCGCTGCAACGGACAGAGGTCTGGGTTTGGGTGCTTGGGTTGCAGCTTTGGTATGTGATCTTTGGGTTCTATGGCGTAGCAGTTTAGGATCGAGATTCCTGCTGCAGAAACTCTGAACCCTACCCTCAACCGCTTGCTAGAACCCTGAACGCTTGCTAGAACCCCGAACCCTGCCCCAAACCCCTATTCGTTAAGTTCTAGATTCTAGCCGTTCTAGCCCTAGCTTTAGGTCCAAGGCTCTGGCGTGTCTCCGGCACTCGAGACGCCCGGGGTTTTGCTTAAGATTTCAATCCTTTTATTGTCCTGAAGCAAAGGGTTCGAAACCAGATCAAAGGGGCTTAGGGTTTAGGGTTTAGGGTTTAGGGTATCAAGCTTCTGGCGTTTGGGGCCAGAGACTTCGGGGCAGAGAGCAGCTGCGGCCTGAATCATCAGCCCGAACTAAAGCTCTGTGACGATGTCCCTAGCAGCAGCGGGTTCCGAACACGTGCAGAAGCCCTTTCTGAATCCTACAGCTTGGATTTGGATTCCACCAGGGAAAGTCTCCACCTGCAATGAAGTCGAGCTGCCCAGTTTAAGTTAATACAAGCATGTATGCCATGGCCCTGGGAACGAAAGCCAGCAGGTAAGGTGTTTCTTACACTGAGCAGGCCGCGGGAACTTTAGTTGGAAACTTACTAGGACCAAACCCAGGTGCCTGTAGCTCCACCTATTATAACCCATGAGCCTTCTAGCAGGGCTTCTTGTTTAGGTTTCAGGGTGGGCTTTTCCCCGTCTTATCAGCTTGAAGCTCTCTGCCGGCCCGTGGGGAAAGCAATGGGTTCCCCCACTCTCAAGCCCGAGAGCCCCAAACCCCGAACTGGACCAGAGATAAAAACAAATCCTAGCCGTAAACCCTGTAATCTACAGCCAATATTGCGAAGTCCTAATTCACCCCAGCACCCAAAGATTCGTTGTTGTATCCTAAACGTCAAACGCAAAGTAACGTCCCTACACCATCTGGGCAGAAGACGACTCCGACGCAGCGCGCGTCGCACTTGCCGCCGGCGTGGACATGAGCTCCCCAGATGAGATATGGGCCTTGGGTTGTATACCTTTGGGCTCCACAGAAAACTCCAAACCCAAGGGCTAGATGGCTTGGGGGTATCCAGAATGCGGCTTCGAGGATGCGGGGATGTGTTGCCAAGTCCGGAGTTTTGGACGTAACCTCCTGGTGCTGTCGTTTGCGAGAGGTCCCTGGAAGATCAGGAAGCTTCGGGGAATAACAGGCGTAGGGCTTTGGGCCTGGGATTTTAGGGTTGTCGCTCCCATAACTCAAAGCACGGGCCTTTTTAAAGGTAGCTGTCTGGGCTCCTTCACCTTGGCTTCAAGGAGGGTAGGAGAGAAGGACTTCGAGCTTGCTTGGGGAAGCTCAGGGCTTGGAGTCTGGGGCTGAGGCCGTGGGTCTTCAGAGCGTGGCTTTGTGTTTGTTCCTGTGGCTCTTTGTTTGCTCGGCAGACTTTGCTCTGAAATGACAGAAGCCTTAGTTGGGCTCTGTGGTTCAAAGCAAAGGGAGAGACAAGCTGTGCATCAGGCATGCAAAGCGGGGCATTCCGGAGCCATCTGCCGAAGCTTGCCGCGGCTTGGAATGACAGAGATGAGGTGTCGACATCAACTCAGGGGCAGTTCTCTATCTTGGGGTCCCTTCGTAGATCCCTAAAGTAGTACGGCACCCTTGTAAACCGGACCCTAAAAGGGACCCTAACTTGGGGAGCTATCCCTATCAAGAAGAGCGGCCCCTCGACCTTAAACCCGAGAAAACCCCCCAACTCCTGGCCACCATCTTCAGTCTCAGGGTTCAAGCACTATCTCAGACACGTTCCAGGGGGCCAAGTTTTCTGCAACCCCCTGAAAAGCCTTCGGGTGCTGGAGCGTGCCAGTGTCCAAGTGAGGCCTTGTACTAGTAATCATATCTCCTTATTGTGGTCCCGACATAGCTATACTACAGAACATGTCAGAACCCATGCGGAGGACCCTGTATCACACTGTGCTGCAACAGTCATGTCAGCTCCAATGTCCGCCCACATCCTTTCAACACCAAGCACGAAGCATACACCCGTAATCCTAGACCCAAATGCTAAGTTCCAAAAGGCACTTAGCCGAACCCAAATCCTGGACCCGATATCGGCTGACTTCTCCCCAGGGCAGCATCCGGGAACTGCACCAAGGATCTTTTCGAAAGCGCTTTGGGGGTCGAAAGTACAGGCTCTAAACCGTAAACCCTAAGCCCTAAACCGCCCAAGCCGCAAAATGTTGACCCGGGCTTTGGGGTTTGCGGACATGGCCTTGGCTTAGGGTCAGAGACGCTCTTCACTTCATGCTCTGCGTGTGGTTCTGGGCCGGTTTCTACCATAGAAGCCCAAAAAATGAGTAGTCTCTTTTTTTAGGGCTCTCCGTTAGGATTCTCCTATGATCCAACCTGAAGTCTTACTGATACTGTTAAGCCCTCCTACAGCGCCCCAAGCCCTCGCCTCTGACTCAGGCTCACGGTCGACTCGACATGAAGCGTTTGGACGAGGCATCGCTTGAAGGGGCCTTATTATGGGCTGCCTGATGCAGCAGCGATAGGCTATGGGGCTCTAGGTTAGTACCCTTTTACCCTTTCTCTTTTTGGGGCTCCCTGATTAAAACCGAATAGCAGGGGAAAAAGGCTACCCAAATTATTCGGGGGGGCTACTAGGGAGCCTAGGGTCTGGGCTTGGGCAAAGGATAGGATGCTTGAAGCAGAAGTTCGATGGGGAGAATAAGGGAAGCATACTTTGAGTTATTACAAGCAGCCCAACTCAGAGGGTGTTGAAGCTCAACGGGCTAAGCTTCGGGATATTTGTGCCGTTTCGGGAAGCCACGCCATCGCCCTCTAGGGGATCGCGCCGGAAGGCTCGGAAACTTCCGGAACTAGACGAAATCCTAAACCCCAATACTCTAAATTCCGAGAGCCTTGAAGTCCAGAAACTCTGAATTCGAAGCCCGAAATCCTGACCCCAAGCCCCCCAAGCCAGAAGACCGACATCCGCCCTTCCCCGGCCCCTCAGCTGAACCTCAAGCTCCGACGAGGCCGTCCGACACGTTCTGCAGCTCAAGGCGAGACTAGGAGCGCGCAGAGCTGTGACGTTCATACGGAGGTACGGAGGTTTCGGTTATGTTTTGGCTGTTTTGTTTCGAATCTCTGAGGATGCCGCGTTTGCTAAACTTGCGAAAACCGTCCTGAATCGAGGCTTTTCGGAGAGTCCTGTTTTTCTGTGCAAGACATGGCAGGCCCTGTGGTGTTGGGGGTGCAGCACCCCTGAATCCTAAAACTGAAACCCTCAACCCCGAACCCCCGAAAACTTAAACCCCAAAGCCCACCTAGGCCCAAAACTCAAGTTTCTACCCCAAGCCCCAAATCCTGAACACCACAAGCCTAAACTCTAGACCCCCAAGCCCTAACCCCGCACCCAGTATCAGGACTCTTCCAGGATCCTTATCGCTCTCTCGACCCCCGTGGCGAGTGGCCGCAGGGAAGACTCGCTGAGGCGCGCCTTCAGTCAGCTTGGGGTTAAGGGGTTCAGTCGTTTGGGGTTTAGGGTTTAGGGTTTAGGGTTTAGGGTTTAGGGTTTGGGGTTTAGGGTTTTTAAGGCTCAGGAGTTTACAGGATTTGGAGTGCAGGAGTTTAACGAAATTCGGGTTCAGGAGCTTATAAGGTTTATGGTCGGACAGTTTAAAGGTCTTTGGGGTTCAGGGGTCGAGGCTTGAAGCTTCAGGGGTTTCGAGGGCATAAGGGACTCGAGGGTGTTTAGAGGTTGTTGAGGGTTTTCAGGTTTGGGGTGTGGGTTTCTGATTTCAACATCCGAACGGCTTTCTCGGTCTGTGGTGGTGAGATTCATTAAGGGACAACAGGAGGGACCCTTAGAAGGGACCCCTAATCCCAAGGGTCCCTTTCAGGGTCCCTCCTGTAGTCCCTTGAATTCAAGTCTCTGCAGGGTCAAAGGAGGGCTTATAGGACTGAGGGTGTCCGTTCTTGGTGTGCGCCTTCAAACTTTGCCGTGTTCCTCTCGAGGACTCTAGGACTACTACAGTCTTTTGGGGGCTCCTTGTTAGAGTTATAGTATGATGGGCCCTATTCTCATTAGTTAGAGTTCTAGTATACTGGGCCCCAAAACCCTATTCTCATCCTTAAGGCCCCTGTATTACCCGAACTGCAACCACAGGCAGCAGGCGACACACTTCAGTCTTCTCGGCCTCCAACAACGCAAACCGAAAACACGGAACTTAAAAACCCTGACATCCTAACCGCGAACTTAAAAACCCAAACATCCTAACCGCGAGCACCGGATAGCAAAGGCTGAACCCCCAAACCCTGAAGCCGCAAAATCCCAAACCCACCAACTTTTGGATTCTATGCATCAGTGGGCACCCTTCACTTCAGCCCCTGTGTGCAGAAACACGACGAACTTGCTCGACGCGCCGCCCGGGAGTCGCCACTCGACTCGGGATGTTTGTTCCAAAGGGCTGCTTTCATGGTTTCAGGGTTTGTGGCTCAGGCTGGTTCTTCTGAAGAACGACGGCCAGCTCTTGCCGTCCCTTGGATGCCTCCGATTCAGCTGACAATTGTTGAGGTTTAGGGTTGCGAGGTCAGAGTTGGAGTCCCAATCATGCCGCTTGCAATAGGCTTTGATGTGCAGCTTGGCGCCTGACGCGGGCTGCACAAGCTGTCTAATTTGGAATTCATGGGCAATTAGGGCTTTGGGTTGTCGCTGCAGCCAGGCTGAAAAAGTGCTGCGCGAAGATCGCCCTCGTGGGCTGGTGGGAGAACGACGTGGACAATGCAGAAGGTGCCATCGTCATCATCATCATCATCATCATCATCAGCAGCAGCATCATCAGCATCGGCATCAGCATTTGTATTCACCCTCCATCCGTCCCTCCATCCTTCTATCCATGCATCCGTTCATACCCATCAGCCGCCCTAGTTTTATACACTGTAGCTATTCAGATTCACCGCTCGTCGCATCATTGTCACATCCTGAAGCATTCCGTATATATTGCCAAAGATTCATGGCGAACTTGACGTTGACCTTCTTCCTCGTCTCAACTGACAATATCATCTTCCTTGCTGCTCCAAGCTTCGTATAGCCTGTTGTAGTACAAACCCCGTTGCCATACTCTTGACCGTTGCTCCTGCTCTTGTATGACTGCGAGTGTTTCCGTAAGTTGTCATGGGATCTCTTTAGTACTCGTCTGTACCGAAAGATATTTTTGAAGATTCTTACAAGTTCCTGCGGTTGTGGAGGTAGTGGAGGTGGTGGTGGAGGTGGTGGTGGTGGTGGTGGAGGTGGAGGTGGTGGTGACGGTGGCGGCGGTGGTGGTTTTGGTGTTGGTGTTCGTGGCGTGGCGGTGGGGAGGCTTGTGCGGTAGCAGCAGTAGTTGTCGTCGTTGCAGTCAGGAGGGCATACAGCTACTGCGGAGCTCAACCGGTACCCAAATTCAGATTCGTACGGAAGCGCCAAAGCCACCCTCACCCCGAACCTGAAGGCGTCGGTGTGCTCTGGGGCAACAAGTCGCACACAGTGACCTTGAGGTGCTCCCGGGTTCGGCATGCAATCCGGAAGTGCGAGTGTCCCAAGCAGGTTTGAGTATCAGGGTTCTCGTGTTGCTTGGCTAATCCGAAAGTCGAATGCTCAGCTATCTCTTCAGCCTGCGTAGCGTCCGGAGTCCTGTTGTCGAAACCTTCACTCTGCAGCCCTCACCCGAGGGTATAGGATTGCGAGACTCGAGCCTAAAATCAGACAGCCTCAAGTCTTCAACCGCAGGCAGGGGCTGCTGGACGTGGTTGGAGCTGAGAATCTCAGAGCTGTGCCGGGGTCCCGCATGGATCCCTGGAGGCAGTCCGAAATTCGGTTTAGTGTCTAGGGTTTTGGTTTAGGGCTCAGGTAACTTAGGTGGTTTCAGGGCTTCGAGAGTTGTGCTGTTATATCTGGAGGCCATTAGTGATCATTAGTGGCCTCTGCGCCGACACCCGGTGCCATTGACCGAAGCCACCTAAATCTTTCTGAGACTGTTTCCGTGAAATGTATCCTTTCTGTACCGAGGACACCCGCATACCGGGTGGCATCACGGCCGCGGTAGAGGCTGCATCCTGGGCCGATGTGGTCGTGCTGGCACTCGGCGAGGGTGTGAACTCGGCTAAGTTGATGAGGGCTGGGAAAGGGGAGGGGCAGGGATCGGAGTTGAAGAGGAAGAAGAAGATCGTGGTCATGGTCCGGTGTTGGTGTTGCTGAAGATGACGGTTATGCTCATGATGGCGCTGATGACCTTGACAGCAGCGTGGCGGCGATGATGGCGATGTCACGATGGTGGTGCTAGTGTGATGATGTCGCCGATGACCAAGGTGGTGACACTACTTATTTTGGAGGCTCCTGTGCTATGCCAGGCGTGCTGAGTAGCAGGTGGTTGCGAGTTACGTCACAGTTGTTCTGCATAGACTTCTTCCTCAAGAGTCAAGCTACAGTTTCGGATCAGCATCCGCTTGCGTCCCCCACCAATGACATGGATACGCATATGTACATGTATATGTATGTATATGTGTGTACTTATGTATATATATATATATAGGTACATACACAGATATTATGTTTGCTTGCACACAGGCACACACACACACAGACACACACACACACACAGAGACAGACACACACACACACAGACACACACACACACACAGACACACACACACACACAGAGACACACACACACACACACAAACACA